GGGGGGCAGTCGGAGGGAGTGGCTGGTGGCAGGGTGGGGCTACCCTCCCTCCCCGTGAAGTGTCCTATTTTTTGAATGTTAAAATATGGTATCCCTACTCACAGTGCAGCTCTCCATTCACAGCAGGCTGCAGCATGAGGTCTCAGCTTCCTCACTCTCTCCCCCTCTTTCCTGTTGGTAGTGGCCAAGGGAATGCTGGGAAATGTAGTTCTTTCCCTGCTCCAGGGCTGGCTCTATAGGCAGGGAGCTAACCAAGGAACTACAGCTCCCAGGGCCCCCTGTTGGTTCCATGCTGGATCCCTGCCACCCCTGCAAATGGGCTGCCCCAAGCACCTGCTTGCTTTGCTGGTGCCTAGAGCCGCCCCTGCCTGCAACTCCCATGGAAGTCAGTAGAAATGCAAGTGCTCAGCACTTTTGGAAACCAGAATATAAATAGTCTTTCTGTAGTTTAATTTATGTAGCTGCATAATGGAGATAATAACATTAATTTACTGGGAAGTTGAGTGGCTTAATTAATTGATATTTGTAAATCACACTGAGATCCAGGAGTGGGGGCGGCATGGGAGAAAGTGCACTGGTGCCAGAGGGAGAAGAAGACAAAGCAGTGATGAAGTGTTTCAGCACTGGCAAAGCAATGGTGGGGCTTGATTTAGTTAGTAGATCTTATACATAGGGTGAGGTTAAATGGGGAAGGACAAGATTAGCTTGTATTTAATGCTGTAGAGGAAGAAGAGCTAGTGGTGGGATACAAATAGAGGGGAAATTTGTTTGTAACTATGAGCCTGGAAAATGATCCTAGCAACAGCATTTTTAATGGACTTGAGGGAAGCAATGTAGCTGGCACCGGGGCCAGAGAGGAAGAGATTACAGTAGTTGAAGAACAAGACTATGAGAACCTAGACCAATAGCTTTGGCAGTCTAGATAGACAAGAGAAGGAAGAATCTTTGACATATTATATTTGTAGAAGCTGCAAGAGTAAGATACAGCCTGGATTTGTGGGCCAAAGAAAATGGGCCTAAGAGACTATGATGATGGTGATGTAATCCACAGGAATGGAGGTATGAAGGAGAGCGGACAGTTGACTTGGGTTTTGTGTTCAATTTTGACTCTGTCGAGCTTATGTTACCATCTTGATTTCTCTGAGGAAATGTCAGACAAGCTGAGATGTGGGTTGCATGGTGAGAAGCAGTAGATAACTAGCGGAGTGGGTTGTTGTTGAAGGTATTGATGCTTGTGGATAAGAGCATCTACAGATGGGGTCTAGTGAGACAAAAGCAGGAGACCAAGGGCAAAACCTTGGGGAACATCCAATGAAGAGGCAATTGGAAGATCCACCCAACAAGACACTGAAGTAGCCATTGGAGAAGTAGGAGGAGACTCATGAGAGGACAGAGCTGCAAAAGCTGATGGAGGACAGAATTTTAAGAATCAGAGAGTGGTCAGTGGTGTACAAACCAATTTGAGAGATTAAGGAAGATGAAAAGGGAGAGCCCTGAGATTTGGCCAGGATTGAGTCATTAGAGATTTTACTAAGAGCAGATACAGTGGAATGTGAAAACTGTGTTTGGAGGGTAGAATCAAGGATGGTCTAGGACCAGTGGAACTCAGTGCATCAGTGTATAAAACACAGTCTATAATCTTGAAAGCAACGTTGTTTCCTTTAATATTAGAGTGTTTATAAATATGTAGAAAACACCCTTGAAATTCCATTTTGTTCTTTTTTATTTTCATTTGAGGTAAAATCCTGACCCCCATGAAATCAATTGGATATTTTCCATTTGGGGGTAGTTGGTTCTTTAATTTCCATTTTAAATGTTTTGTTGTGTTCTTATTGTACGCTGTTAAGATGCCTAACAATGGGTACATTAAAACATTGAGTTATTTCCCAGCCATGTTCCTCAGCAGGCATTACACTAAATTAAAAAATCACTAATGGTTTCAGCAGAAACTGGAGATGAGTTAAGTTAATTGAAATTTCTGAGCAAGCTTCTTATCCCTCCCAGGGCAGCTGACCTCCCCATCACAAGACTGACTTATTAGCAACACTCAGATCCAGAAAGTTGCCAGTCTGCTTCTGGGAAGGATATTTGAACTAACTGACCCATCCTGCAGTGCCACTGCATATCCTATTATTATCTGGACAAGATGTTCTGAAAATGAAAGCAGCAAAAAGGGGAGGTGCCACTGTTACTGTAATTATGTACCTGACACAACTAGTCTCTCCTTCTAATTCTATTTCTAGGCAAATTTCTTTCTCCTATTTATATTCATGCAAGTCTAATCATATAAGTTCTATCAGCTGCTGGAATGCAACTGCAAACCAATCTCATAGCCTGGGAAGAGATAGAACACTCACCTGATGGCCAAAGACCTTTTATTTGTTGAGTGTCATTTTTCTCTCTTTCCCTGCACCTTCCCCCATTGCTTGCCCTGCCTTTGCTGCCACCAGCTCTCACTGGAAATCATCACGATGTAACTAACCAGTTTCTTATGAATTACAGTTCTTAAGAGAAAATGGAATTATTACCTCATTAAAAATTCCACTTCTTTATGTTGGTGGGAGCCTCACAAATTGGGGTTGATGGCAGTCATTGAAAATGATAAATGATTTGGCATATCTAATTCGAGAAGTTGTCATTTCCTATTATTATTTAATCCTGGAGTCATTAGTGTTGATAAA